CTTTATGCAAGAGATGATCTTATTCATTTTTAAACCATTCCTAGTTGAGGAAGAGCTTTTACATATCAAGAATGTTTGTTGGGTTTAATTGATTGCCTTTTCAGCTTCTAGTAAGATGATCAAATGATATTTATTTGAACTATTGATATGAGGCACCTGTAATTGTAAGAACATTAAAAAGCAGAGCATTAAATATTTTATGGGCAAGAGGAATGATGCCAGTGTGGGGCTTTTCAAAACATGTTTAGAGGGCTGCCTGGTTAGAACAGAGGGTGTGTCTAAGGAAGCACAATGGTCAGCTTTAGGAAACAGGCTGAAACCTTTGTGGGGCCTTGTATGGGGGTAAAGAGGTTGAACTTTATTGTACAGGCAAGGTGAAACTACTGCAGAATTCCGAGTAAAGGATAACTGTAGAGTTTAAGAAGATTAATATGATTGGGTGGTGGAGGAAGAAGAAAATAAAATCAAGGAGAGGACTTAGATACCCAGGGGTGAGAGGAAAATAGCCTTTTTCTACAATGATCCTAATAAGGAAGAAACGAAGGAAAGTAGCTAAACAAACCAATATGACTCTCTGATGAGTTGAGATTTAGAGAGAAGGGTACCTATTCAAGCATAAATACTAGCATGTCACAGACTCGAGGGTCTGTGTCAAGAGGGCTAACGTGGAAGATAACTTTTGGGTTTCAAATAATGTCCAAACTGTGGAAAGTTAATTAGGAAAACAAGAGTAAGAATATATAGGGGGGCTTTTCTCTGGGCAAATGATGTAATATTGATAGATGGCAAAGAGAAAGCATACCTCATCAACTTTTATTTTGCTTCCAATTGACAACATCAAGGAGAGTGATTTTCAGACTGAAGGTGGGATCTAGTGTAGAACAAAGATGATGACTGAAGACGGTTCACAATGGGTGAAGAAATTGTAGGAAAGCATCTATCTGCTCTGGATGAACTGTACCCCAGGAAACTGGGAGAGCTTTTAACGATATCTCTGAATCTCTGTTGTTGACCTTAGAGAAAGCTTGGAGAATATGAACATTGCCTAAAAAAAGCTTGGAGAATATGAACGTTGCTTAAAACTTTGTGTATGAGCAAATGGAATTCCAAATTTCAAAAATGTAGATTTCACAAACTGCAAATCAATGATCTTAATGTCATTTTGGGGCAAGATCCTAGGATAGCATTTCAAAGGGATGACTTATAAGTTCCTAGAAGAGGAAGTGAGGATCATTAGAACTCTACATGGGTCATGTAAAAACATGACTGACCATGTTTTCTTCTTCATTGGTTGACATGACTGTTAGATCAAGGAACACTGTTGCATACAAGAAGCACTAACAATCATGAGGTATGAGAAATCCAAGAGAAGCAAGTGCAAGAAGGAAATGAACAAGGGATATTTAGCCTAGAGAGAAGAAGACTTAGGGAGAACATGATGGCTGATGTCAAGTATGAGAAGGACCATTATATGGAAGAGGAATCAGGTATCCATGGGCTGCTTGAAGGCATGGGTAGCATTACAGGGACCTAGGATAAGTCTCAGTATAAGGAAGAACTGTCTAACCACTTACACCACCTAATAGTGGAACGGGATGCTTGTGGAGAGAGTGATTTCCCCATGACTGCAACTGTGCAAGCAGAAGCTGGTCAATCACTTTTGGGGGACTGTTCTAGGAGAGATTCATGCATCATTGCGTGGTTGACTCTAAAGTCCCTTCTGATTTTGAGATTTTATGATCCTAGGACAGTGCAGCTGCAAATGGGAAGGAACAGGTTGGAAATACAGAGATAGTGCTGCTGTAGCTAACAAGGTGGAAGGAAATGGAAGAAGACAGAGGGAAGAAATGTAGATCACTCAATTAAGAAAAGAAAGTCATGTAGTCATATAGTCTAGAGGACGAATCCACCATCTTTTTAGCCCCAAAGACCAGGATCATCCCAAAATGGTATAGGGCTGTCCAAGAAAATTGCACTTCAAAGGAGACCTCAATCAACATCTTTCATAGGCTTTTTGGGATGTCAGCAAGGACAAATATTTCAAAATAGAATTTTAATGATGTTCAGAAAAGAGGAGGACAGTGTGCCATTTGGGTCCCTTCCCCCAGCAGGGCACTAATCACAGGACTACTGAGGAGGGCCATAGGAGGAGGGGCAAGGCACATCCTTGGAAGCAGGCCTAAGGCACAGGCCAGGAGAGAGAACAATTTAAAAAGCAAGAACAGGAAAGGGGTAGAATAATGGAAGATGGAGGAAAGATAAGGACAAAATGAACAGGTACACAATGCCAATGGGCAACTGCCTGGACTTCCAGCCGTCTCAGGGGCACCTCTTTCAGCTGGTTCTCAGGGGAGAGGACATATGGGAATCAGGAGACTGAGGCTTTAATGCTGGCTGTGCCCCAACTTCCTGGGTGACCTTGTAGATGTCATTTCACCTTTCTGCCTCCTTCCTATTGTCAAAGGCAGGCATTCTGTTAGCCTAAATGTGCTCTGGACTTTCTGGAAGAAAATAGTTCCAGAAATTTAAGACATGTGCAAGTGTTTGCACTTGTTTCCGTACTTTCACGCTTGGGGGAGGGAGAACTGGTAAGAGGAGGGTAGAAAGAAAGGTGAGAAGACGTTGTGGCCAGAGTCGCTGGGCTCCGCCTCATCGTCCTAGGGAACCCACGGGACTAGGATCTGGCAAAGGCACATGCCTACGGCCCCTCGACCAGCCGGGCACCCAAGACCCGCGCGGACATCCTTAGGCTCTGCTGTCCCTTCAGCAAATCCCATTGCAGCATCCAGGGACGAAAAGCGAGGCACGCCCCTCCCCCACTAGATGGCACTGAAACGCCTCGTTCGCGGTTTTCAAAATGCAGGAAGGAGGAAAAAAGAATATGGTGGAGGTGCGCTCATTTTGGCTCACAGGCCCTGTTGTGCAGGGCAGGGTGCCGGACACTCTCTTTTTTCCCAGGGCATCTCTTTACCCGGCAGTGCGGCCCCTCGACTTTGAAGTGAGGGTGAAAAGGAGGGGTGAGCATTAGAGTGAGAACCCAGGGTCTCAATCTGGGAGGGAGGCTCCCAGTCTTTGCGGCGCTGTCTCACGTGAGCGGTGCGGGGGGAGGGGAGGCGGCTGGGCTCGCTTGGGGCCCACCCGCTCAAGGTCTGGGGTTCCGCACTACCTCCCAGAGCCCCGCAGAGCCTAAATCCAGCCGCCACTCAGATAAGGACAAATCCCGCGCCGAGGTTTCATTTACCGCACCCCCCGCCTTACTCAAAGGGCGATCCCCGGAACGTTTTCAAAGTATCTATTAAGCACCCCCACCCCCATTGAAATTCTCTTCCTCTTGTCTTGGAAGGGTCAGTCACGTTTCCTCTTTCTTTTCCTGCTGAGGAGGGAGGCGGCGGCCGGAGGAGGTGGGTGTGTGTCCGGGTGTCTGGCGCGGGCGTGGGCTGGACTGGGGCTGGCAGTGATAACCCCGGGGACGCGCTCAGCCCCGGGTGGAAACGCCTGTAGCTAGCAAGGTAACGCCTGTCGCTTTCTGGGGAAAACAAAGATCAAATACAATCCAAGACACCAGCGACCCAAACTGGGGACGCAAGGAACTTCCTCAACCCCTCTGAAGGCCGCCTTCGCAATAAGCAGTCTTTTCTTTAAAGAACTGTGGTCTATTAGAGGGAATTTGCCACTAGTGAAAAGAGATAGAAGATGGAGGCAACATTCCTAAATTTATAATAATGCATGTAAACATGCTACATACCACATATATGTATATGTGTATAAATATGGATGTGGTTGGGCACATACCTATCTAGACACCATTGACTTGCCTGGTCAAAGAATAAGGCTTAGACACTTCATGCCTGGGAAATGGTGCAGTTTATCTTTAAGGATGCTAGAAAAATAAGAGATGAGGCTCACGTTGCACGGATGACATCACTAGCTTTTGGCTGCGCGCTCCGTGTTCTCGTCTGTGGGTTTTAGCCAAGGCTGCAGCGCCCGGCGCCCGAGCGAGCGCGCGCGGCAGCGGCTTCCTCCAGCGCCCGCACCCGGGCGATGCGATTTCCCGAGCTCCCCGGGCTCAGCCTGGGTTCTCACTCTCCAGCACCGGCCGAGCCCGCGAGGTCCCGGAGCCGCCGCGGCTAGAGGAGGAGGCAGGAAGGGGAAGCCGAGCGACCCAGCCTCCCTCCCCCATCCTCGCCCCATTCACCTCGGCGACCACCGCGCGTCGGGAGCCTGATCGTGGGACGCTGAGGCCGGGACAGGAATCTCAGCACGCTGCCGAGTGAACCGGCATCTCAGCCCTTGGGTGGGCTGCGAAGAAAATGGTGCAATCTGAGAGCGGCTGACTCCAGTCGGGCAGAGCAGACGGTGTGCCAGAGTGCTGAAGCTCAGGTGGCGGGAGAAGGGGGCGGATTGTTTTGAAGGGCCGGAGCCGCTGTTTTCTTCGGTGCCTGCAGCATTTTCTTTGCACCTGGACAGCACGTTCCCGATGCTACCCGGGAGCCAGATGAAGTGAGGCGGAGGCGTCGCGGGAGAGGCGGGTCTGGAGGCGGCCAGGTGGACACTTCAGGAAGAAGACCGAGCTGGGGAGAGCGGCATGACGCCCCGGGGGCTGGCTGCCGAGCGGGCTGTGCGCCGCGATCGTGCGACCTGTCCATGGTGTTGAAGGCGCCGTGCGCCGAGCTCCGCGCGCCCCGCGCTGTGCGCCCTGCCGGGTGCGCCCTTCCCGGCGCAGCCCGCCCCTCGCGCCCGCCAGCTGCCGCCCAGTCGCCGCAAACCCCGGGCAAAGTCTCGTCCGGTAACGCCGTCCGGGTGACCGCGCCGTCGAACCGAGGGGCCGCCTGAATGGCGAGGCCAGAGGCAGACGACCCGGGAGCTCGCGGGGAAACGTCGGCTGAGATCGTGCGCCCACGGGGAGCCCGCCTCTGAGCTCAGCGCGCTGGCCAGACGGAACAAGGGACCTGCTGGTGACCAGAGGACGGAGATTTTTAAAAGACTCGATCCAGAAAGGAAGAACATTGCTTCGCTTGCAGAGCGGGGGGAGAGTCGCTGAGAGGGAGACCCAGGCGGGACTCAGGGCAGCCGGCCCTGGCACCTGGAGGTTTCCTTCGCTGGCCGGCCGCATCGCGGGTGTTTCAGTTCAACCTGTGGTCCAGCAGCTTCTCCTGATAGCCCCCACCCCCCACCCAAGAAAGCCCGAGGCGTGGGTGCCGTCGCCACCCCGCACAAAGAAAGCCCAGCAGCCCCACCGCAGCCAAGGGCACTTGGTGTTTAGTTTCCGGCCCGAGGGCAGCGGCGCCCGAAGCCGGGCTGCGTGCCGACGCGGCCGGTTCGGAGCAGTTGCTTCCTGCGGGGCAGGGAGGGGGCGGGAGGCGGCCGGGCTTGGCTCGCCGCCGCCTGAGGCTGCACCTGCCCCGGAGGATGCCCAGGACCCCGCCGGCGCCTCTCCGGATCAGAACTTTTTAGCTGCCTGCCCCCGTCCCTGCAGTCCCCGGGCCGCGCACCGGCAGACGGGGGCCGAGGGGGCGCCGCCGCGCGAGTGCCCCTCCTGTCCCCCCTCCCCCCTTGGCTCGGCCGCCCGCCGCTTTGTTCCGGGCGCGCGGAGGGAAGGCGAGGCTGCGGCGGATCATGCCCATGGTGTAGCCGCGAAGCGGAGGCATGGCTGCCGGAAGGTTACTGCTCTACACCGGCCTCTCGCTAGCGCTCTGCGCCCTCGGCATGCTGGCGGTGGCCATCTGCTCGGACCACTGGTACGAGACGGACGCCAGGAAGCACAGGGACAGGTGCAAGGCCTTCAACACCCGCCGGGTCGACCCTGGCTTCATTTACAACAACAACAACAACTTGCCGCTCCGGGCGAGCCGCTCGCGCCTGGACCGCTGGGAGGGCAAACTCCTCCGGGCCCGGAATCGCCGGCAGCTCTTCGCCATGAGCCCCGCTGACGAGTGCAGCCGGCAGTACAACTCCACCAACATGGGTCTCTGGAGGAAGTGCCACCGGCAGGGCTTCGACCCCGAGATCGCCGCCCTCATTCGGAAAGGTAAGCGCGAGGCGTGGCGCTGCGCAGAGCCCGGCGCCTCTAGGCCCGGCGGCCCTCTCCTCCCTCCGTTGGCCGGCCTATTAGGTCTCCTGGTTCTGGGGGGTCAGGTTATCCAGGCCCGGCTGAGCCTTGGAGTGGCCAGAACTTGCCTCCTATTAGCTGATAATGGAGGCTTACCTCTCTCTACCTGGCCTATGGTCTTGCGTTTGTCTGATGGGATTCTTGTCATGGTCCAGGGTTTTTATCCAGGATAATGCTTCATCCGTCTCTAAAAAGGAAGAGAATCTATAACATTGTGGTGTTAGCAGAGGGAACCCTTTAAGAGTGATGTGGGAGGGTAGACAGACTCCCAGTTTTAATGTGTTTTAGATGTTGAACTGATTTCATCAAGGGAAATTGAGGGAAACATCTCACAGAGAAGGCCTTGTTCATGCCGGAAACGTTTGCTAAGGGCTATACTATACCAGGCAGGTGCTGGCATTGGTCATATAAACATCAATAAATCACAGCCCTTGCCCTATTGATCAACAGGAGCAGCATACCACAATTCTTGATTTCTCCTTTTGGGAAAGTGGTTGACAAAAGTGACTTGTGTGCATCGAATATTATTAGCAAGGTCTAGTAAGCACAAAAAAAGTAATTCTTCAAGTAACGCTGAAGTGGGTGCTTCAGAGAAAAAAATACTATTTTCAGAAGATTTGTATAAAAAATACCCAAAGTATACCAAAACAGAAAACAAACTGCATTTGCTAATGATAAAAATTTGTTCAATACTTTAGTATGATCACATACATTTTTAAAAGTCTGCTCATCTGATGCAATTTTTAAAAAATTTTATTTATTTATTTTTCCCCCAAAGCCCCAGTAGATAGTTGTATGTCATAGTTGCACATCCTTCTAGTTGCTGTATGTGGGACACGGCCTCAGCATGGCTGGAGAAGCGGTACGGTGGGTGAGCACCGGGATCCGAACCGGGCGCCAGCAGCGGAGCGGGTGCGCTTAACCGCTAAGCCACAGGGCCGGCCCTGATGCAATTTGTTAATCTTGCATGATTTATACTTTGGGGACCATCCTGTTCCATTAACCCAGTAAAATATTGTTTGGATGTGTATTAATATTGCTCTGAAGAAGGGAATATGTTCTCTTCTACGGTAGCTGCATCCTGGAAGATGTGGTGCAATTTTATGAGTCTTGTTTCCACTCCACCCCCCCCCCCCACAACTTGTCATTCATTCTCTTCAACTATTAAATGGTGAGGCCAAGGTGAAAATGATGTTATTATCTGCGAAGTCTTTGAGACCAAGATATAAAACAGTTCTTAATGTCTCAATATTATAATGCAGGTTTGCTGCTGTTTAAAAATATTATTTATGAGAACTGATGTTCTTTGATTTATAAAAATATTGAAATTGATCAGAAAAAATTGTTAATTTGAAAAAAAGTCAATTGTTTAAGAATGACAAGTATTGGGTATGGTCTAGGTGGCCATTCAGATTTAGGTGAGGTAGCTCCAGAAAGAGAATCCATCTTAATGTTTGTTTTGTAGCTTCTGTAGAATGACTAGGGATTTTAGCTGATTTCGTTATGAGTGTGTTAATATTACATACATCACATCTGCTTCACAGTTAGGCTCTTTTTAGAGCACGATGACCCACTGGAGCTTTACAACTTTGTAAAGATGTATAGGATATTAGAGAATTCCAGAAGAGAGCAACTTGAGTTTGTATTTACAAGTAGGAAAATGAGGAAGCAGAATAGTTTTTGACAAAGGGTGACTTTATAACAGTTTTTAGATTCTCAGATTCATAAAGTGTTATTTTATCTGTCGTTTTCTGCTTCCATTGAAATTGGAATGGTAGGAAGTTAGTCAAAATTTGAGGAAGAATTCATGTTAATAATGACTGATAAACACTGAAAGATTTGACTTTCAGACTTGCTGAAAGACATTCTTGAATTTCCTTCCTTGAATGTCTCCTGGAACAAGACAGGTATCATTTCTCCCTCTCTGCTGTTAGTAGGTAATCTTAGGTCTTCAGGCAGAATCCTAAATGAACTCCATCCCCCCCGTGGATTGTTTGGGGTAAGTCGTTATGGAAGTATCTGCATCTGAATAAACATTTGTGACTCTACTGTCTAATACTAGACGTCCACGTGCGTGCATGCATGTGAAGGGTCATTTAGGATTGTCTGGTATTGGTTAACCACACTTAGAAAAGGGGAGATGGAATTCATGGCTTCTGGTGTCTCCATTGACAGCTTTGATTCCTTGTTGCTCTGCTTGGCAATCTGGCTAGAAAGGTTGACTTGGTCTGTGCACCAGAGGGTTGGTTACCATAGTGACATGTTCTTCCGGTGAAGCTGGAAACACAGTGACAGGGAAAGGGATAGGGGAAGAATGTACAACATTTTGACTTTGTATCGACTAATTTTTAATTGCAGCAACAGAAAATGGACACGGCACAGCAGGGGGATTGAATACACTGATACCTAGAGTTGGCAGGGCATTGTATTTCACTTGAACTAATGGAAATGCTGTTCCCCATCACCCAAAATACAGCAATCACTGTCAGCTGCAAGCACCCGCTTACCACAGCCGTTTCTGTCCATTTGACATTCTTGTTAGGTATTATTGAGACAGATGGCATGCCAGCCTTAACAAATCTTGAGCGACTTAAGGTCACTATCTTCATTTTTAACCTCAAAACATAATCTTTGAAAGCCATATCTTCCTTTTCTAAGCTTCTAGACACATTTTGAAAATAAGTGCATCTTATGCTAGTAGAATTCACAAGCAGTTCCAATAACATATAGAACGTAATTTCTAGACTTAATCAATGTTCTTCCTAGATGGGCAGATTTTAGAAGGAAGTTAAAAAAAGAAATTGATATCCATATATTTAAATTTAGGGCATCTTAGGGAAAGATATTTATCTCACAGTATTCATTAGCCATCTCAAAAGATCTCTGAGGCCTTTGTCTGTTTTTGAAACATCTTAGATTAAAATTCTGGGAGATATGTGTTGGGCAAAGGGAAGGGAAACCAGAGAAAAGACTGTTTAAAATCTGTCAATATTATGGGAAAATTAGAGATTTATCTAAATGATCATAGAGCTCCAAAGAACTCAATCATTTGTTAAATCAATGTTCATTACGTTAGAAAGTGCTGTTTGTGCATTTTAAAATATAACAAACTGCTTAATTAATAAGAAAAAAAAGTCAAATCTATATTTGATTTGAAGATAAAGTCCTTTGGATTTATGTCCTTTCTGAAATCCATTTCTTCAATGCCCTGCTGCCATGACTGTACCCACAAATATGCATTTCTGGTCACTGTGTATTCGTTTGTCTTCTTAAACTGTAAGTTCCTGTAGGAAAGAAAATCATTTGTAAAATACATCCACCAGATGCTTGGTATTTGGGAAGTATCTCCTACAAATTAGGTTCCAGAAATGTATCCATCAAGAGCTTATTCTAATTGTAGGAACACTTGTGTGGGAATCCAAATAAATGATTAGTCCGAAAACTGTGGTAAAAAAGGATGAACCAGTGTGGCTCTCAGGGCAGGTTAATATTGCAACAGATGCTACGTAATTAAACAAGGAAGATTTCTTGAGCAAAAGCTTTACTAAGGAATAAGGGAAACAATGCTTTTTCTGGATATGTCACTGAACAGACACATATCACCCCCCATCATTATACTTCACATTACATAAGATTTTAATTATTTACTTCTTGGAGGTAGGATTGGGTAGAAGGTGTAGCAAGGATTGATTACCCTTGAATTCCCATATGACTGTGTCCATAATCAGGTCCTCTGGTCTTCTTGCTTTTCAATCTCGTCCATGTCTCCCTAGTAAGTCACTGGAAGCACTGGGGACAGATCAATGACAGGATCAGTTTCTGAAATCCAAGAGACTTCCAGACCTTTAGGAGGAGCAGCTACAGGTAGGATTTTGTCCCAGGGAACATTTATATCCTTTGGTTTGTACTGAAATGTTATTTTGATATGGCTTGAAATAAGTAGACCTTCAACTGAAACTCTAAGAACTTTTTTATTATTTAAAAATGGGCCTTATAATAGAATTTGATGTATATAGGTTCCATAATCGTGGAGTGGTTGTCAGTGTTCTGAAGCTTATTTTAATAAAACGTTGCACATAATCACAGGTTAATAATGTACTCGGCAAGTATTTATTACACATGTGTTATGTGATGGGCACACATCACTAGAATGAAGGGATGAGTAAGACCGGGTCCTTAAAATTCCCGTACTCTGTTAGTGTCACAGAGAATAAAAGACAATTATGGGCTCATGAGAGCAACAGAAACAGATGCAGAGAAACCCAGAGGAGGCAATGATGGATTGTGTTGGCAGTGGGGTGAGGTGAGGTGGGAGGGGGTTAGGGAAAGTTGCCCTGAGGAAATGAAATCTGAACAAGATTTTCATGCAGTTTGCAGGTGGCTGGGGACGAAGGGCATTCCAGCGAAGAGGCCAGCATATGCACAGCCGTGGAGGTGTGCAATAGCAGTGTGGCCTGGTGAGGGTTGATTTCTGGGGTGAGGGAGAGGAGCAGAACAGGAGCTGGAGAGCACGCGGGGGCCCAGTCAAGGAGCTTGTGTACTCAAATCCCAGGTAGCTATGCTGCGCGATAGGGTAGCCACTAGCCACAGTACAGCTATTTAAATTTGAAATAACCAGAATTAAATAAACAAGATTTATTTCCTTAGTTTCATTGGCCACATTACAAATGCTCAATAGCCATATGTGGCTAGTGACTATCATATTGGACAGTACAGATTAGAGAACATTCCTATCATCACAGAAAGTTCTATTGGACTGTGCTACATGGAACCTATAGCCTCTAAAAAGAACCAGCACATACTTTGTTTCAGATGAGGATAATTAAACATGATAACTTGGGCTTAAATTTAAGCATATTATTCTATAGTTGAAGAAACTTTGCTACTTGAATGTTTTGGAAAGAAGGTTTTTAGTTCAT